TATATAATTATACTTATATAATATTTAATATAATTCTACTTTGATCTACTATTCTTCAATTCAATTCTATCTTGATTTACCATGTCCCATAGTGACCGATCGAAAACGAGCCGCATCGCGCAGCGCCCGTTCGAATTAAAATTCGCATCGGAGCGATTAGAAGCAGGAACTAATAAACAGCCTTTCCCGGCAGCGCTCCCGTTCGCCTCTCGTCTCACGAGTTAATCGACCCGTCGCGTTTCACTTTATCTAACAGACCTCGTCCATCCGAAGCCTCTCGCGTCCCTCCTCATGATCGTCTCATCGTCGATAATTTGCCGACGTAAAAGAAAACAAAAAAAAAACCACGATCCGCGGTCGATTAACGCCGCGCAATTATCTTCGACCGCTGAATCCCGACGATCGCGACGAGCCGTCTCGTTTTATTGCGAGCCGAGCCGAGGAGCAGCGTTTTGATATACGGGTTCAGCAAATCGAATTTCCCCGCGATCTTTACGACGCCGCGGAACTCGATTCGGCGGCCCGCGAGCGCGATGGGCGCCCGAGAGGGTGCTAGAGGGTGCGCGAAAGGGTGCCGAAGAAGGATCGGACATCGGCGCGGCTATAATAATAGGCTCGGTTCGCAAATCTATTTCGCATGATATCTAATTGCTAATAGCATTTCTGAGAGCATGAGAGCGATATCTCAAACGCGCAACCGGCAATTACGCGATGCAGATTCGATTAGGCGAGCCGACGCGCGTTTTAATGAATTCGTGTTTCTCGCGACGGCCGACTCAGCCGGATCTCGCGCGACACCGTTCGCCTAATTCGTGTCATTTTGCAAATTAGAAGAGCAGAACACGGTTGCTGCCTTTTTTGTTTGCCGAAAGAGAGAGAGAGAGAGAGAGAGAGAGAGAGAGAGAGAGAGCTTCGTTACTCGCTCCAGCGAGGACGCTAATCCGCGCGCGGATAACGATAGGAAGAACGCAATTTCCTGTAACCGTTCGCTGTCACGCCGTTCTTTTTTCCGCCGCGATGATTCCGCAACGCGGGCGACGTTCGTCTGCGCCGTTATCTAATTCGCCGCACGGAATACAATTCGCTCTTCTTTTTTTTCTCTTTCGTACGTGCTACGCCACTGTCTTCCTTGCGCTGTCGCGGCGAATTGTGCTCGGTCATCGCGGAACATTCAATTACGATTTGCGTGTACCGACCGGCGAAATTATTCGACTCGCTTTGCGTGACGAAAATATTGCTGGTTATTTATTAGTTACTAGTTACTTAATAATTACTTGTTAGTTACATAGTAATTGCTTACTAGTTACTTATTTGAAGTAAATTGTTATCAATTATTATCAATTATAATGATTATCAATTATTATCAATTATAATTATAATAATTATCAATTATAAATTATAATTATTAGCAATTATCAATTATAATTATTAGCAATTATCAATTATAATTACTAGCAATTATCAATTATAATTATTAGCAAATTATCAATTATAATTATTTACAATTATCAATTATAATTATTAGCAATTATTATCAATTACAATTATTAGCTATTATCAATTATAATTATTAGCAATTATTATCAATTATAATTATTAGCAACTTTAATATTAATTATCTNTTAATTATAATTATTCTCAATTCTCAATTATAATTATTAGCCAGTATAATTATTAGCAATTATTATCAATTATAAATCATAATTATTAGCAATTGTAAATCATAATTATTAGCAATTGTGAATCATAATTATTAGCAGTTACCAATTATAATTATTAGCAATTCTCAATTATAACTATAA